ATTTTAGATCATATTGAGATCATTTAGTAATAATATTAATATTTGTTAACATTTTCTCTTGACTATTAGAGTCACCGGTTATATTATAATACTAAATTACTTAAACAAAGATTATTATGAGTTTAATAATTATATAAGGCATAAAATAGATCATTTGATTATTTACCGTGGCACGTCAACGTGCAACTTACACGTCTCACTTATTGAGAAAATGTTACCGTGATCTCTTTGTTGATTTGTCAATAGTTATACGTCGTCGTCCGACGATCCGACGTTGATCTTTAAATTCTTCGATTCCAACTTAGGTTTTTTGGTTTTTGATCTCCTAATCGATTCCAGCTCTGAGACTTCTTTATCCCCTTTTTCATCTCTGGCATCTCTTTTCAGTCTTCTCGAGTAAATCTTTTGCCATACCATCATTTCTTCATCTCTTTCGTACAATGCTTTGGCTTTAAATTTGTCGGCGGGGATTGTTTTATAATTGGTGGGCTTTCCGACATACGGTACTTCTCTATGAAATCTTGCATAATGGGATTTCATAGTACAGCTGGTCGAGAGGTAATAAAAGGGGCAGGCAAATTCCTCCCCTTTTGTTTCACCGGGTTTTGGATCCTCCATCAGTTTGCCAATGCAAACATGAAGTGTGATGTCCCTTCCTTGATATGGATGACTTTTGTGAGGTTTTCCTTCTTCTTTGGTATTATGGCTTGTCTTATGGGTCGCAATATCAGTGTTCTTCGGAATTTTTGACGTTGACATACTAAGTCTATTCGATTTTTTGTCGTTTACGTGCGACGTTGAAGTGCTGGACTTGCCGATACTTGACTTTGATACGTTGCCGTGGGACGTCGAAGTACTAGGTTTGGTTATACTTTTATGTAATACGTTGCCGTGAGACTTCGACATTTTATTTAACTTTTCAACCATTTTTGTTGTTGTCTTCGGAGTATCATTATTTCCTGAAATCAATTCATCTTCTTCTTCAATAATATTGTTGTCCGTCATTTTTTCGAGGTTGGCTTTTGCCTCAGCCAGGACCACAGCAGAATTACTGGGGCCAACATTAACCCACTTCGCCTCGTACGTCGGTACTGTGACAAAATCGTCGAGAACCATATCGTGTCTGAATTTAGAAAATTTGGCGGCCTCTCCTCTCATCTTCTTAATAGCTTCATTTGTAGCGTCTCTGACGTCTGCAGCCGACGTGAGGGCATCAATAACTACAGCAAAGTCTTTGTGTTTATTAATAATATTATTCAGGGCTTCCAGCAGATCAGCGTTGATATTCTCCGTAAACTTGAGACGTGCTTCAATTTCTTTGGTATACTTCGTTAGTTCTTTACATCTTCTATAATAATCGGTGTCCACTAAAGCTATGCTAGTCTTGAGCTCACTTTCGTTATCAATCCGACGGGTATTTCTGACTTCATTCATTTCTTTCTGTCTTCGAATGATTTCATTCAATTTTTCTTCGATTGTGCCGCTTTTCGCGACACTAGAGAGCGGAGTAATATTTGTCTCCATCGATAAGCAAGACGTTGACGGCACATGAAGATTATCAACGTCTTTAATTGACACTGAAGTGGACGTTGAAGTAATACGTGAACTAATCATGTTAACGTCTTTATTAGCCGTTGACTTAAGAGGAATATCTGTATTATCCACTCTTTCATTCATTACATTGACTTCCTGTGGTGTTTTATTGTCTACTATCTTCAGTTTTACCACTCTATTATCATCCATCGCGATATCAGTTGGTGAGCTGTGGTCTGTAATGCCTTCGATGATTGTTCCTCTTTTGTTGCCATCATATGCAATGCCCGTCAAATCACTTTCGTGTTTCACTTCCTTTTCTTCAACCGTCTCCTCATTGATTGACTTGTTATCAGAGTCCTCACCTCTATCTCCCTCTTTTTCATCAATAATGAGATCAGTTTCGGTTGATGTCGATTGTGAAGACATATCAAAATTAGACGGCATGTGTGGTACGGCGTTTAAAAGGCGATTAGTTTCCTCGTCCGAATCCGACATGTCTTGAAGGTGTTATATCACTACACGGTTTTAAGATAATGATTATTAAGATAATGATACGAAATGGTTATTAATATCCACAAAGTTGTTGTTTATGTGTTTAAAGTCAATTGTTAATTAAAAACACGTTTTGGCGGCAATAAAAACAAAATGTCTTCTTTAATTGGTTTTAAGGTTCACAGGTGGCTGCATCTTCCTGTAACTTATTAGTATAACTACAACATAATACTTGCACGTATTATGCAAACATTACATGTGTTCGTAGCACTTTGACATTTAATGTCGTTATAAATAAACACTTTTTTAATTGGTTTTAATAGTTTTAATTGTTATGTCATTAATTAATTATAATTAATTATTCCTTTTATCTCTTACCTATACTTATTTCTCATAACAAAATATTCAATTTTGATTACAATAAAACATCACTACCGCATCACGTGTTCACCACAATAATAGATTTAATTAATTAATTTTGGTTCTCGGGTGTTGTAGGAATGTTGGCATAGACGGCCGCCATAATTCGGGCCCGTCTAGCATCGCACTTGGTTTTATTATTTTTAGCCGCCGAAGCTCGGCCCGAATAGTTAATATTTCTCATTATACTTATGTATTCACTTGTTATTATTGTGATCACAATGTGCACTAAACCAAAGAAGTAAACTGAATGACTAACCCTTTGTTTCGTATAAATTGCTAATAATTTCGGTATTTGCAGACTTTAACCCTTTCCGTTGAGTCCAATTTATTTTTATATTTGAAATTCAGGTATGTTTCAAATCAATATGTTTTCTTATGTCTTATTCTTAAGGTATCGAATTTCTTTTCCGTTTGAATTTCATGATATTACGTAATGGTAAAAATTCCAAACCGTGATATTTCCACGTGCACGTCAAGATAATAATTATCCGTATTATTTGAACGTTTACTTTCAATTTATATGTATATAATATTATGCTATGTCATATATTAATATATAATATCACTAACTCACTAATTAAATGTTAAAAGTTTTAGCCCCGCAATGGGAAGCGGGGTCATATATATTTCAAAATATTTGATGCGATTTATAAATTATATAGCGTTGTTGTTATCATTATAATTCTTTAATTTGTTAACAATCACCTTGATATAATCCAGAAATATATCCATTGTCTCTTTTTTCTTTATTATAATATCAAAATTTTCAAGACTTGTATCGTATACGTTTAGTTTCAACTTTGACATTTCACGTTCGAGTACAAAGTAATGGCAGTAGAATAATAAATGTTCTATACTCTGTACGGTGACTTTGTCGCACCCGCATATATTACTCTCTTTGATTTTAAATCTGTACAGATATTGAAGTGAATACGAGTGTCCAGAAAGAATTTGAGATAATTCAAAATTAGGCAAAGATACTTTATGTAACTGTAGTATATGATCTTTTGATGGTAAAAATTGCTTAGTAAGTCTACCAGTCAATGAGTTATTATATTGTTCATTCCATATCTTAATGGACTCCGCCTTTATTTTTTTCTTAATTGTATTTAAGGATACGTAGTTATATTGAATAGGTAAACTAAGTTCGGCTGCCATTTTAGCCATAGAATCGGCTTCATCATTGCCCTCAATTCCCGTATGTCCCCTTACTAAATGAAGTTTCACGTTGACGTTACACGTTCTGATTTCTTTAATGTTTTTATGAATTCTATTAATAATGGGATTTGTGTTGCTCCTCTGTTTAAGTGCTAACAGTCCTGATAAGGAATCCGTGTACAAATTTATTACTTTAGTATTAACTGTTTTACCAAACTCTAACGCTTTATCCATCGCGACCAGCTCTGCCTGAAAAACTGTACATTCCGTTGATAACTTGATAAGCTTGTCACGCTGTCGTGCTCCATATGTTTTAAAAGAGCAACCAACACCTGCATTTGTTTTACAACCATCAGTAAAGATATTAAGTTCATCAGGCAAAGTTATTATTTCTTTTGGGTCTTCTATTCTTATAAAATCAACGTCAATTCTTTCCGCTGGGTGTTCCAGTTCCGTGAATTTCGCACGTCCTTCGAGATAGTATATTTGATTCGTCCCTTCATCAGACGTAAACGTAGACGTCCAATGTCTTTCTCTTTTCAACCTTTCTATTTTGGCAATTTCATGTATTTTTATATCGATTGGCATAAAGTTTGCTATCACAAGTGCTGATGTCGTTGACGTTGTATGAAAGCATTTACCGCATCTGATGGCAAATGCCCTTTGAAATTTTTCAAGTTTTTTCCTTATATATTTATATTTCAAAGCCTTTTCCCATATCATGCATCCGTACAACAAACCGGGTTCTATTGCTCTCTTATAAATAGTTTGGACGACCTCCGATGACAGGCCCCACGTGGGTTTTACAAGTCTCGTCAAATGTTTATATACTTTCATACATTTGTCCGTAATGTAATGAACATGTGCTGTGAATTTTAAGTCTTTATCAATAATAATGCCTAAAAGTTTTATTTTGTCATTGCACGTTAACGTAATACCAGACATCTCAACGTTGAAGTTGTGCGTAGGTTTTGTAAAAGATATTAATTGCGTTTTTTCAGCGCCAAACATCAGTTTTGCTGAGTTACCCCAGTTTGAAATAATTTGAAGGGTAGTCTCAATGTTGTTTTTCAAAATATGTTTGTCTTTATGATGTCCCAGCAAGATAACATCATCAGCAAATGCCTGTATGTGAATACCTTCTGGGAATGGTATGTTTAATAATTCATCAATTATAACGTTCCAGAATGTCGGTCCGCAGACCGATCCCTGAACACATCCTTTGGTAACAGTTTTTTTGACCGTGACATCATTATATTTCATGCAGACTTTTCTATTGGAAAAGTAGGAGTTGATTAACTGGAAAGTGTTTTGTCCAATTTCTTTTGCTTTAAGCCCGTTTAAGATGAGTGGCCACCAGGCGTTATCAAACGCCGCTTTGATATCAAAGAGACCGCTATAACTTCTCATTTTCTTTTTCTTTTGTTTCTCTATTTCTTTAAGTAGTACGTTAACAGCTTCCACTGTTGACGTTTGGGGCGTAAAGCCAAATTGTTTAGTTGAGAATCTGCCTTCTTTATGCAGTTGCCATATAAGTCTTTTAGTAAAAAGAGATTCTAGTAACTTTCCCATGACAGGTAGAAGTCCTATGGGTCGATATGACGTTAACGTATGCTCATTTCTCCCTGGCTTTGGAATGATTTTAACATACGCTTGTTTCCATTGACGCGGGAAATGCCCAATATCAAGACATTTATTGTATAAGTTTGTAATAATATAAGGATGATATTCAGC